GCTAAGGTGAAGTTATAACTAGAAAGATGTAGCTGGATAAGTCACACTGGGTAGCACTGTAATTTGGCCGAAGGCCCAGTGTGTTAACCAAAGAGGGATGATCAGTGTAGGGTCTGGAAAAGGAGCTTTGTGTGCTCATTAGCACTTACCCAGCCCTATTAGGAAAGAACGGCTGTAAATGCTGAGACCACACACCTTTCCAGGTTCAAGTGCCTAGAAACAACTCCCTACATACCACCCACAAGGAGTAGGGTGGGCCTGGCATCGTGTGTTTGGAATGGAAAATGTCACTTTGTACGTGTGCATGTATGTGTCTTACGAATTCAAAAGAGGTTGTTTAAGTCTTATAAGACCAAAAATATTCTACTAATCACCCTAAGATTTAACCAGAAAGAATTTCTGTGAGACTGAGTTATTGAGTCACTCTACTTAGTTTTTAATTTATTATCACTAAGGAACATTTTGTGAGCCTCCAAGTGCTAACTTGGTCTCAAAGGTCACTTCTGGAGTGTCCCTGTGTGCTCTGCCAACCACACAGTCCTAGTTGGGAGCACATTTTAAGAAACCGCTAGGATGGGGTCTTCTTCCATGACAATTTCCTCGGGCAAATTTAAATATGCTCTCATTGCTTCTCTTATAGCTGTGGGGCCTTAGCTACAGGGTGCTCTGATCAGCAGCTGAGTTTGAGGGGAGACTCTTGGAGGAGGACACCAGGTCCTTTTACTTGGAAATCGGACACTCCATTGATGAAATGTACTAGATTTTAAAGGAGTACCTGCTATGTAGACAGCATCCAACTACTGGACCTGCTGTCTACTCTATGCATATTCATTGCTTATGAATATTCAGTACTTGAAATGGTCCATTAAGCAGTAGGAATCATGCTTTCAGTAGCATGAGGGACAAAGTGAAGAAGGTGATACACTTTTAAGATCTCACTTCTGGTATTGCTGTTGACGTCAGTTGGAGAAAGAATCTTTTCACTTCTTATTTTGTTTGCTTGTTATTCTCTTGCTCTGAAGCCATAACCATGTCGACATTGCTTGGGAGGTCTGTCCTTTTAGCCCTTTCAGCCCTGCATGCACATCCCCACTGCATGAACGAGTGGATTATAATGATTAATGTAACGATCATTGTGCTAGCTGTCCGAGGTGGCAGGGTAGGCTTACTTCACCTGGCAGGTTCGGATGTCATGGCTGAGACAGTCTCTCCTATGACCACTTACATCACGGTGCTTTGTTATTGAGACTTTTCATGAAGCTGGAAATGTCAGGTCAAGGGCCTGTATTCTTGAAAACTTGGAGTTTCATCAGTTTTATCTTTCAAAGCATTTCCAGGACAAGCCCGCTAAGAGACAAGAAAGGGGAAGACTGAGGGGATTCTAGAGACTTCTCATTTTGCAAAATTATGTTAAAATTACATCTCGATGAGAGGACTTTCATAAAGCCAACAATAAGAACAGGAAGAAAACGACCTGCAGAACAAATAAAGAGCAGAGCATTGCAGGAAGAAGTGACAAGACATCACCAAAAGAAGACAAAATTTCTGATAAGTTCTCAAATTTCAAACAGGAGTGGCAAGGAATATATATTCATTTGACTTTGGAAAATACTATTGAATGTATTTTTTAAATTGATTTACCCTTCAAGCAGCGGTTGCTCATATGAACATTGACATCGCCCGCACATATCATAGCTTTGGGGAACATGTTTGAGATTCTTTTTGGCTGAGTTTGAGCAAAAACAAATTCAAGCTATTCTTAGGTTGTTTTTTGTTTTTCCCCTGAGGGCCATGGGGGCCAGACTTACTTTAAGAGATTTCTGCTAATATCTAGTCATTAAAAGCCCTTGATTTATACATTCACTAAAAGTATTTACTCCAGTTCAGACTTGAAAATCTGCCCTAAATGGCATCATGCCAGAAGTTGATTTTTGTTACTTCAGAAGGAGGAGGAACCGTTGCCGTGTCCGAGAGAAGCAGAAGCACTGGGCAAGAGGGGACAATCTTTCCCAAGAATATATGGCTTTACTGGGGTCAAACGAAATTTTGCTCAGTGCTTTCCTCACGTGGAAAGTAAGTATGTCTAATCCACCTTCCCAAAGAGGGGAACGGAGCACAGAGCAGAACGGCAGATTTCCCTACCTGTTTGAAAAGCCCGGGAAGAGGCCAGACAGAGCCGCGTGCTCCAGCCCCATGTGGTTTTAGACGCCTGAACCTTTTACTGTCCTCAGACTTAAAACTGCACAGCTCAGAGCCGTGGCAAGAAGCAGGCTTAACGTTTTAGTCCCGTCCGCAGGCACAATGAACTGGAGCTTCAGCCAGAGCAGATCCAATTTCCTTCCCAGACTTGATAACTTTGTTTGATAAAATGAGCTCAGTGACGGTTTCAGGGATTAATTATGAACCCTTAGCAATCCTGGATGGGCGTTTATTTTTTAAAAATACTTACGCAACTTAGCTTTCTATGGTGCGTGTGTGTGTGTGTGTGTGTGTGTGTGTGTGTGTTAAACACTCAAAGCATTTAACACTTTCTCTGCAAACCGTACATGTCCAAGAGTCCATGGAAGGTGAGATTTATTAGGTTATGGTATCTACTCACTTTACGGCTGAAAAGCATGAGTCAGATCACTGGCTCGCCCTGATGCCAGGAGTGGGAGCACAACACTAGGATTCCTGTTTTCTGAGTCCCATTTTCAGGACCCCTCCCTCAATCCACTGCCTCTCCCTTTCCAAACACAGTGTGGGATGCAGGAGGATCTAATGCCCCCTCCTTAAGAACCTAAATGGAACCTTCTGCTTTTTTCCATAGATAACCCTGAGAGGGGGGCGGGAAGGCGCATGCTTCCCTTCCAATGTTCCGGGCTCCAGAGATTTCTCTTTAAGAAATACCACCAGACCAGATGCCTCAGTATCCCAGGATTCTACCTCCAGAGCCCAGCCCTTCTTTACAAGCTACTGGGGAAAGCGTTTGAAACTGGCAGAAGGCCTTGTATGCGAAAGGCAAACGGAAGGGAGGGGGAAGGCCAGGGAGGTAGTAAAACGCTGCTCCAAGAGAACGTGTTCTTTCTGTTCTTACAGCACAAGAGGATTCCTGGGCCGACCACCCAGCCCTCCCTGAGGGTTAGGCTGCTCAGAGATCACAGGGATGCAAGCAACCCATTGCTGGGAGTGGCTCCTCTCAAACATGCATTTTTAGTATGAAAGAAGTGACGGGGGAGGGGGTGATGAAAGATAAGAAAAACTGAAGCAATCCGCTGTCACATCACCACTTTGTAATGAAAAATCTGCATTGTCTCCTCCTTACAGAGACAGAGTTCAGTTCTTTGGACCGGGGAAGATGTGGCATTAAATCAATGTGCTTGTGTGTGTACACACGCATATGTGTGTGCACACATATGTGTTTGCGTGTGTGTGGTGTTTTTTCCCCCCATTATCTATTTCAGAAAATAGCTCTCCTTTCCATTAATTTTTCCCCTAGCAGCCAATGTTTTATAGGTTCATTGCAGAAGTTTTGGAAAATATGGAAATGTTATGCAGAAGAAACTAAAATTTACCTATAATTTTACCACCTAATTTATGAATATTTTGATGAATAGCCACCAGTCTGTTTTCTTTCTTTCTTTCTTTCTTTTTTAATGGAATCTGAATTCCAAGAGCAAACACACAGGGATCTTGCTCACATCTGTGACCCAATGCTCTGCAGGGCTTAGTGTGCCGTGACCTGTGGATGTGGATTGAATGAATGAATGAATGAATTAATAAGTACATAAGGATAATTTGAATTGAGGTAAGTTGTCACGATGCAGCAGAGAATAATAGAAATAGAGTTGTTTGGATGTGACAAACTTGGAACGAAGCTGCTATTCTTACTGCGTTTCCTTGGATCAGTCCCTTGAGTTCTCCGGACCCGAGTTTCTTCTTCGGTAAAACAATTATTAGAGTTAACATTTACTGTGTGCTTACTATGTGCCAAGCATTGTTATAAGCTATGTGTACTTCTCACCACAACTCTATAAGATAGATACCTTCTACTCCCATTTTATGCACAAGGAAACTGAGGCCTGGGGAGGTTGATTTTGATTTGCACACAGTCACACAGATGATTAAGGGGAGAGCTGGGCTTGAACTCAGGTCTCTGGGTCTCCTTTCCATGGAGTGCCTGGCTGTAGGCTTAGATGACTCCTCAGGCCACTCCCAGCTCCAAACCTGAGTGAGAGAGGAGTGGTGTGGGGACGCTGTCAGGATTATGCTCTGGGCTGAGCACAAGAAAGTCAATTACAGAGCAAGGTCCATATGATTTGTACATGGAGATCAGAGAGCAAAGTTGCCAGCCAGCAGACTTCCTCACAAATGTGTGCGGCCCACACGGGCACTCGCCGAGCAGAATGATAAGTCAACCTGCTGTCCCCAGGGCTCCTTCACTCAGAGGCGGTGTTACCTGGGCTCTTGGCGTGTCTCCTTCCGCTTCCAGGGGAACAGCTTACAGGACAGTGCACTGGGGTCAGGCAGGGAAGTAAATAAGAAATAAATCTGGTCATTCTTGACTGGGAGCAGCAGCTGATGCATTTAATGGCAGAGGGACTGTCCTTTGATGATTACATAGAATTTCCATGGGCAGGACACTGTCCCTTTTCCTCCCCCTCCCCAGGTGAAAGTATGAGCAGATAACTTGTGTTCTGCCTTATCCCCTTGGTAACCGAGATTCTTTTTGGTAAGGAGGAATGGGCTTCGGTAAACAGATCTATTTGTGTGACTTCTATTACTCACTTGAAGCCATGTCACTCCTTTTTCCACTGTGGTCTGTGTGTCTGAGTCAGAGGGAGCCTAAACAGGCTTCTTTGAATTGATGGCTCACTCCCAGCCTCTCTTGACTGACTGCCAACCTAGCAGGGCGTAGCTTACCAACAAATCTTTTTTTTTTTTTTTTTTTTTTTTTTTTTTTTTTTTAAGCCAGACTGATTCATAGAAACTCCTTTAAAACACAGTGAAAAGAAACCGCCCATCACACACCCCAGCACACCAGCGCAGGAAACTTATAACCTCGGGAGGCAGGTCCCTCCCTTCACTGTGGTCACAAAGCTCCAGAAGAGCAGACGAGCCACCAGCAGCTGCCAGCTCCTGACACTCAGGGGGCCTCTGCCTTTGGGACCCTCAGGTAGGACAGCTCCCCCCACGGTGGGGAAAGAGAGAATTCTCTTTCCTTTCCACTGCTCTCCTTCTTGTGACCTTATCTAAGCTCTGCTTTTTCTTTTTCCCTTTGCAACTTTTCTATAATTCCTTGAAATGAATCCTTGAAACTTTTGGCTAAAAGTAGATACTGAGACAACTTTTTCCATAAGGTTCAGAAAAATGTATTTGGACGGTGGGGTAGGGAGAAGGTCCGGGAATTCAGCAGGACTGGGTTGTAATTATCTCCTGCAGTACCTGGGTTCTCGTTCTGAAGATGAGAAGGGAGCAGGGACTTTGGAACATACCTGGATAGGATAGTCTTTATGGAGGAAACGCTACACACCTTTGAAATGACAAGCTGCGTTTGCCACATGTTTTCCATTCCTCCATTTTGATTCAAATTGCTTCAGGACTTGATTTGTGATTCTGCTTGTTGGTTGTTGGCTGGTCTTTCTGGTGTGACAGTGGATAGAGGGCTGGTTTTCCATTTATTTTTGCTGTGGCTTTTACTGCTGCCTTTTTGCTTGTTCATTCACTTCTGTTTGAATTTGTTTTTTTTTCTCCCCACAGGGTGGGAGAAGAAGGGTGGGTTTTGTTCAAAGAAAACCGTTAGAGAAAGAGGAGGAGGAAGAGAGAGCGTGAGAAAGAGGGACAGAGAGAGAAGAGGGGAGCAACTGGTGTTTCAAATAAAACGCGGGAGGGGTTTGCCTGCTGAAGTGAGGAGTCTGAGGCGGATTCCAGATCTTCCTCTCGCGTTGGCCAGATGTGCGAGATGGGAGAGGCAGGAGGGAAACTGGATGTGGGGTGGCGGGAGGGTGGGGCAGGGGAACCTCATCTGTTCCTGTAGCAAAAATGTGGAATGCCTTTGTGCTTCCACCTCAGAAATAGCTGAATTTTAGTGCTGAGTGGAAAGTTGGTATGTCAGAAGTAATAAAAAAAATTTTTTTTTGGATGGATGTGCAATTTTTCTGCATGGAAGGCAGTGAGTGATTGGGCACATTTATCTTCTCACTCTTTTCCAAATTATGATTGTACAGATGCAAACACTCGTGCTAATCACAAAGTGAATCTGGAGAAAAGGAGGGTTTTTGGGGTTTTTTTTTTGTTTTGTTTTTAGGTTAGCATTTTGGCTGAGGTGTGGCTTGTTTCATCATAGATACTGGTGGATTTCCACCCCCCACCCCTAACCCAGCATAAACAAGATGAGGAAAATGACAGGATTCAGCTTGTCTGATGAAATTAGACTTTTCCTTTAGAAATGCAGTCTATTGGAAGGGAAGATTTAAATGTAATCAGCCTGTGTACATTGTACAGGCAATGCTCTTAATAAAACTGCCCGCAGGGGGATGATTAAATAAATTCGAGGGCAACTTTTCAAGAGGCAGGAAACTCCTACATTTGCTTAAAGGTTTATTATTTCCAGATTACCTGGATGTGGATTGGAAAAGCCATTATTAAGTTGATAGTAATGGTATTCTATGAAGTTAGTACAAATCTTTTAGTTCTGTGCAGGTTAAAACTAATAAACTAATTTAACCAGTCAGCAAATAGAAAATACTGAAACTTCTGGGGTTGTAAGCCATCATGGATTGCATTATTTATGCAGGGTTTTGAATTATACTGTAGTTTTATAGACAAAAAAAAATAAGCTGTGTGTTATTTCCTGGGCTTGGAGGGCAATTGAGAAGAATGCCACTCCGATTCCCACTTTCCCCTCTTCCTCCAAGAAGTAGCGAGAGAGTCCATCGCTGCAGCAGTTTTTCTGGAATGCAGCTGGAAGTCATTGACAACGCTGGACTGTGAGGCTTATATTCTCCTCCCCTGCTGCCTCCCACCCTTGGAGGAGGATCGAATTCCACCCCAGACTCTGAAGAATGGGTGGGGGCGGAGTGCCGTCTGGAGGGCTGCCGGACATCCGGTCTGGCTTCCCAGTTGGAGGACCCCCCAGACTGTACATGGTTTGAGGGTACTAAACTGTCCTGGGAGCTGTCAGAAGGCCATCAAGGACCAACCCAGAACAGATCACATCCCAGAACAGACGCTGGCTACCTCCCAAGAGTACAGGGCAGACCTCTGAGGAAGGAAAGACATCCTTCCACAGACCACTGAAAAGACTTACTGTGGCTTTCTCAACCCTTCCCGCTTCCCTCCTGAGACCAGTGTGGGGCCTGTGCAGTTTCCAGGGGGAACATCCAGTCTGGGGCAGGGGCGGGGGTGGGGAATTGTCACAGAATGGGCTTCACCAAGACCATCCTGGGGGTGCAGACCCTCATGGCCTGGGCTGGTTGGCTCTGTGGGTTTTGTTTGGTTCATGCTGGACCCACTGTAGAGCAGTGGTTCTGGCACGAAGAAGCAAAATAGCTTTTTTAAAAATAGGCCCCTCAGAGGTGGAGGGGGAACACATTTGAAAAACGGCCACAGAAAAGGGCACAAGACAAATTAGTTACATTCCACCCTTCATTTTGTTCATCGAATTCTCAGCCTGGGAAAGATCTTGAAGGTTAATTCTTTTATTCTCCTACGAAATGCAGAAATCTTAACTTTTATACCACCCCGGACAGATGGCTATTTGACATTTCTTAAAGATTTTGGCGAGTTTTCAGGGAGGGCGCTCACTACTTCAGAGTGAACCTCCATACTCACCCCCCTTCACTGGACAGCTCTAATTATTAGAGTCTCTTAAATCGGGCAAAATTGGTTTCTCCGTAACTTCCATTCTTTGTTCCCAGTTCTGCAGTCCTGAAGTGACCCAGAGTATATCTATTTCGTTTTTGTTGTTGCTGCTCCACCCAACACTCCTTATGCTCTAAACATTTAACCCTTAACTGAATATTTAATTGGTAAGACTTGTGTAGTATTGATATTATTGCCTGACACTCAGCAAGAGGAGCAGGGAACATTTTGAAGCTTTGAAAGTAAGCATGTAGTAAACCGTAGCCGTATGATTTGATTCTGAGATATTTCCGTCTCTACGCATGATTATGGTTCCTTCTTTAACTTGCCACATGTATATACGAAAGCTCAGAGCCATTTGAGAGTCTCAGATATGCATACTCAGGGGGACACACCCAGTTGCTACTCATAAGGTCATGGTTAAATCAATTTAATACTGAACACAGGGGCAACTAACTTGGCCCTGTGGGGATTGTCTCTTAACTTGGTCCACAGTTCATGTAGCCCATGCCTCTACACTGTTACCGCCTGTCATGGTCACTCTGGGAACAGGCTGCCAACCCAGTGTAGCCTCAGTGTAATTGCTGGCAGGCAATCTGGATGTCAATTTATTAAGGAGTATTCATCAGCCTAACCATGGCAGAACTGGAATTTTCTGATGATAAACTTCCCATTTCCAGTCCTCTTCCCAGTTCTGCCCAGAAGACTCTGGACTTCTATTCAGTAATCAAGGGAGCCCAAATATGGTTTCGATTAGTAGTTTACTTGATTTTCCAACACTCTCCCCAAACACACATGTCTCAAGATCATACTTTGTAACATTTCAGTCCCTGGCGCTGTGTCTGGGTAAAATGGTTTCTCGCAATTTCATTGGAAGATCCATTGATACGAAGCAGAAAGATAAAACTATAAAACCTTTAGAGACTGCTGTTATCTGTTTTCTAAAAAGATTTTATTTATTTTTAGAGAGAAGGGAAGGGAGAGAGAATGAAAAACATTGCTGTGAGAGAGTAACATCAGTTGGTCGCCTCTCGTACATGGCCTGACCTGGGACCGAACCTGTAACCCAGGCATGTGCCCTGACGGGGAACTGAAGCAGTCGAATTTTGCTTGGTGGCACAATGCCCAGCCAACTGAGCCACACCGGTCAGGGCTTCTCTTTCATTTTAACAAAATATTTGGGTCAACATTTCCTTCCCTGTTGTGGAAATGGCATTTTCCTAGAACTAAAATGGACTCCTTTGCCTCTGGTGCCGGCAGCCCTATGTGGATCAGGCAGTGTTTGTGTTTTCTGGGCCGATTTCACAAAATTTCTCTTCCACTAGAATAAGTGAAATTGAGAACCCTTTAAGCATAGGTTGAAGCTGGTGGCAGAAATCCTGGAGTAGACGCAAGGTGGCTGAACGGAAAGAAGGAGGGGCTGGGGTCTTGTCCCAAGTCTGCCGTGTGACCGTGGTTAGGTCGTCTGTCTTCTGAGCTGAGGAGACTGAACTTGGTGGTGTCCAATGCCCCTTGTGGCTTGGAAATTCTATTTTTCTAAGGTCCTAACATTCCTATTTTGAGAAACCCATGGTTGATTTTAATAGCTAGTTTAATCCATAAAAATTGGTAGAAAAGTGAAACGAGGCAACATGTTGCATCAAAACAGGCATTTGGAGGACTGAGGACCCAGGCCATTTCCTCTGCTTCATCTGCTTGGAGATTCCTTAGGCGTGGTGTTTGCGGCCTTTATCGTCTAATAACAATGAGCATTCACCCAGCTCTGAGATGAAAAGGAAGAGGTTTGATTAATGGAACAAGAAGCAGCTAGCTCAGATGAGGAGGGGCAGGCTAGCTAAGCCTGTTAGGACTGAGAACAGTCAGGGACCCAATCAGGCTCAGGGAGAAACTGAGCAGGTCCTGGGAAAGGAGCTCCACCCTCTTCTCTTGGGGGAGGGGTGGAGGGGAGACCCTGCAGGGTGTGGCTGTGCAGGTGTGGATGGGAGCCAATGAGGACAAGTTGAGAGGAGGAAAGGAGAGGTGCAAGGAGTAAAAGGCGGGGGAGGGAGCAAGTGGGACCACCTGTGTTTCCCTAGGGCCCCTGTGTTGGGGCAAAGAAGAGGTACAGACACGAAGGCCTGGAAGAAGGAGAAAAGGCGAAGTGGTAAGAGAAAGACCAAGGCCCTGAAAGAGCAAGACAGAAGTATGAGGATGTTTCCACTCCTAAGTCTCTCCCCTCTTATTTGAGGTCCACCCACCTGCAATGTTTCAGGATCTTCCTTAGGGTCAAATATTCTGTTAATTGTGCCCAGTGAAGAATCTTCTGTTGCTAAG